AAATTATTCCAATATATATTATATTTATTTTCAAATTGTGGTTTAAATTAAAACAATTTTCTTTCAATGAATCAACTGATTTATCATTTACTAAAGCTGAGAGTCGTCCTATAATATGTAGCAAAAGCTTTACAAAATGTTTATTATTAATTATATTAAATGAAGGTCGTAGTTTTATTAGTCTGAACTGTGTTTGTTTTGAAAACACAAATGTTTGAAATTGAACTTTCTGCGATTGTAACATTAACATGTTAACATTGGAACCACAATCAACATATATTTACACTAGGTGATGTTACCTCTCCCCTCCCCCCCAAAAAAACTGTAAACTAACAGGGGCTTCTCGACCACAAAATATCCCAGTTTATTATTGCTTTTTTACTCCCCATTTTTTTGTATCAGACTTGGTTTACTACACCATTTGAATTCGTCGACTTGTATTTGCTCTGTCGCACAAGTTTAGCGCAGTATAGCAAATCTTGGGTATATTTCATCCAACCACAAAATCCCAAAATTATTTCTCTTATTATATTCTCTTATTATATTTCTCTTATAAGTTGTTAGATATGCATCTTCTAATTTATATTGAAAAACGATTTTTTTATTTTCTTATCAAGGTATGAGAATTTTCTTAAAATCTGAAAATTTTTCTTGTTGATATTTTAAGGTTATCATCATACAATTTCTACATTCAGAAAAAATTTGTTTTTGTTAATTTGGATAGAAATTTATTTTTAAATTTCTGATTTAAAAAAAAATTGTTCATAGAAAATTTCAATCGTTATGTTTAAACTTTTTTTTGTCGTGTTGGTTTCTTTATGTAATAATGTAATAATTAAAAGAAACAAAAGAACATTCTAAAAGTTTATTTACATAATAAATACAGCAATTGTAATTTTTAAAAGTGATAAATTAACTTATCTAAGAAATAAGGTCATCCTTTAAAAAAAAATTCAGTGCTAATGTGGCTCAATGAATCACCATATTTAAAAATCTTTGGCTTTAAAATGTCAGATCGATTTTCTTTCCTTGAAATAACAAAGAAACACGGAAGGTTGAAATTCTCTGTCGATTCGCTCTACAGTGTCGTGGTTTTATTATGAAGACAAACTTTATCGTGATATGTGTGTTCTATTATACTTATACCTCTATGTATAAGACCAATCATTAGTTTTATATTACGAATTGTTACCAACTCTTAAGAAAATATTAACAGTTTCAAATATCTATTTGAAATAAATTATATGTTAGCGTAGGGACATTTGATCAACTCTAGTACAAAAGTTATTTCGATAATAAGTCAAAAATAAGTTTTTATGCAAACTTCGAAAAAGACATTCGAAATGTTCATTGGGTCATCCGGAAACATCTTTGGAACCATAGTTTGTCTTTAACGTAAAATAGAATCAGCTTTTTTTTTAAAAAAAAAATCTTGTGGGTAAATTTTAGTCTCTAAAAGTTTCTTGCGGATAATGTGTTTTGCCCGGGTAGTCTGATTGGCTGGGTGCTGAACTCATGTTCATGAGAACGGGAGTTCAAATCCAGCTGCCTGAAAACTCCCCATGTTGTAAATAGTGACTGGTGCACGTAAAATATGTCGGATTTAAAGTCCTCTATGTTCCCATAACAAATCATACCTCTGGGGGTACTGAATTGAAGATGGATTGTTCTCTGGTTCAGGTCAAAATTACGATCTGTGGATGAATGAATGAATGGGTCCGCACTTGGCTGTAGATGGGTTCACTGGAAAACACCCCTTGCCTTAAACAACAACAACAATGTGTTTAAAGATGCATGAATATGAAATCAGATTAATATTTGTTTGCTGAAAATCTTCCGCTATTCTGATAAGACGGTGTCTTTAAAGACAAGCAAAATTTCAGTAAGATTCTTTTTCTTGTTGCTCTGCCTTTTCTTTTTAAAACTGTATTTTGATTTGCTGCGATTTATATTTTCAGCATGAAGTTAGATTTCTTAGTAATTTTTTAAATATGCTCTACTCTTATCTTCTCGATTTTCGTGAAAGATTTTGTACGTAGAGCCGTGATGGCTCAGGGGATCGAGCGCTGCCCTCTCGATGAGGTGACCTAGGATCGAATTCCAATGCTGTCTGGCCGATCACAGATTCTTCTCCCGGCTTGCCCCCAGACCACTTAAAATATTCTCATTGATCAGCGGATCATTTGTTATAATCTTTCGTGGTTTACCGCTCGATTTAACACAAATGCGAGTTAGTTCCATCAAAAAAATCCTCCACACTGGGGAAAATAAGTATGGCCAAAACTATCTGAATACAATAAAATGTATCGTGTTTCTGGCTGAAGGGGAGGACCAAAACGCTCGGTGATTTTTACCGAACCGCTTTGGCAATTATTTTGGTAAAATGAATAATAAAATATGGTTTTATAATATGCGATGAAATGTGATATATGTGGTAAAATTTGGTAATTTTATGATGATACCTTAAAACATGGCATATAAGCTATTTATTCGATTAACGGTAAACCGCTTATTTCGTTTTTATCATCAGAATTATAGTTTTTATTTATTTTTTACCAGAATTGTCATTACCAGCAATACGGTAATTTTACCAGAATTTTTTTCTCCGGTCACGATAGTTAGTTCGGATTATGCCTGGTCTTGAAATTCCATTCGCTTCTAGGTTGGGCTCAAAATCACAAAATTTCGAACATTTGTTGTCTTAAACTCAAAACTGGGTAGTCTCTCCAACGCTGGTTATAAAATATTTTTTCGCTTGCAGGTCGTCGGGCTACCGAAGCGGGTGTGCCATCCCCTCTGCAGAGGACCAAAATTGTGATGGCATGTCTTCGAATCATCCTCAGTGATGTTTCCCAGACTGTCGCCAATAGCCCATTGTGCAGCTCAAGTGCGACGTAAATGAACTACAACAACAACAATGAAATATTTTACTTAATGTTATGAAACCTTAAACTTAATTTTTCAAACTCATTAGGCTTAAAGCATTTCGAGGAATTTTTTTTTGAAGTGATACTTCTTATGTGACTTTCAACAAGGTTGCGTTAAACGTTTAACGCTACATTTTTATTGGCCGGGAAATCACGTGGTAGGATCCAGTTTTCTCTCATTCATTTCCATATTGTTTTGGTTCTCACTAGCATAGAAATAATAAAAGTATTGTTTTTCTATAAATATTTTTTTAGTTTGTTTTGATACACATATAATTTAATAGGGTAGTATTTCTTATTTTCAAATTTAGTGGATAACAATTGTAAAAAATGAGTGAAAACAATCCCACGGACAATGCGACGGATTTATAAGGTTATGTCAAGGTACGTCTCTTGTGAATGTCAATTGATTGTTAGGTTTTCTCTTTTCTAATTGCCATTTATATTTCACCAAATGCAGCCATGAGGGATATTAAATTCTTTATTGCAAAATCTTTATTGCCACTATCCACTGCAGGTTCACAAGCTCTGGCAGACGTTACTGGTGAAGAAATTGATTATTGTGAGCGGCCTGTGATCCTTGGAGGAGATTTTAATCTGAATTTCTCGTTACCTGAAGCTGAAACATTATTAACCTTCTTTAAATACAAATTTGGATTGGAAAAGATAATGGTAGGAATGATCCAACAACCAAAGGGGTAACTACCATTGATGCAGTTTTTGCAAGAAATAGTATATGGAAAAAATAGAACTCAAACATTTCGTATATTACTTTAGTTATTATAATCCCATTGTAAATTTTATAGATTTGGATATTTATCCACTCGAAAATGATAATTAAAAGATGCGATCAAATTTTGAGCATTGTTAATAAAGTTTGTTTTAAAGAAACAATATGATTTCACTAAAAATCAATTTCTACAGCTTCCTATTATTTTTTTTGAATCCGTTAGTTTTGCTGAGTTTATGTTTCTTTTGTTGACTGCGTATACCAATCGTCGAATGCAATGATTAATTTATGACAATTATGTTTTAAACAGTTTTTATGTCCTCAAAATAAGATAAATTATTTTTCCTTAAAACAATTAGATACCCAATTAAAAAAAGAATCGACCTAAGCAATCTTAAGATTTATTAATTTAAAGTTGCCGTTTCACAGAAATAAAACTTTTTTAATGATTTCATAGAATAAAGTATTCACGTCTAAATTCGTGGAATGTGATATCTGGCTTTTATTAAATTTTCCATCCGAAATTGCATCCAGAATTAAATTATTTTTAAATTTAAAAAACTTGAAAACTTATTTAAAAACTTAGGGATCATTGCAACATAATAAATAAGAGAATAAAATGGTTAGCATTTACAGATTCATTTATGTAAAATTGCCATCTTTCAGAAATATATTTTATTCATTTCCTATAATAACGTCTTCACATTTGATTTTATAGAGTGCGATATTATTTTTTTTTATTAATCTTTCCAATAAAATTGTATCATCACGAAATAATTAAAGTATTTCTAAATAAGAACTTTAGGATTTTTTTTTTGGAAATTATATAATAACTAAAAAAATTAAGTAGTGAGCATTTCAAGATATATTAATTAAAAATTACCATTTTGCAAAAATATTTAACTATTTTATTAAATTCCTATAACGTAATTACATCTAAAGGGTTGAAATATTTAATATTTTTTATTAATTTTCTGTAGCGTATTTATACAAATATTGCTAAAATAGTCAACTGGTTTATTGATTTCCTATAATTACTTACCTATATTGATTTCCTATATCTAAATTTATTGGAATTGATATTAAATTTATTCTAATTTTCTCACATTTTCCGCTAAATAATTATTTTATCTATTAATAAGTAAATGTTCTTTTTTTTTCCTTTCCTTTTTTTTCGCGTTTCTTTTTTTGCGTATATGTCATCAATTTTTATCTTCTGCGTTTCTTTTTTTTATCATTCGATAGTTTTCTTCGAATCCTTTTTCTCCGTTTAAAGGTGAATTAGAAAGTACAAAGTTCTAGATTAATGCACAATTTGTATTTTTTGGTGACGTTCGGTTCTAACCTTTGAATTCTAATTTCTTTTCTAATGATATCAAATATATTTACAATTCCGGTCTAAAGATAGCATCCTGAAAAACTAACCTTTGCCCACATACTATATTTAGGGACAATTAGAATGATAAGGGAGTGATTTTAATAATTTCCAGATCTCATGGGTCACTTAAGAATCTCATATAAATATACCTGAATATTTACCTCGTTCCTTACAATCTTTTACTTCTTGCAATTCTTCATTCTTTGCAAACAATATCCATACTTTAGGTAAGTTCTTGCATACATTTGTTGATATTTTTTCTACCTCATTTTTATGAGTAAATTTGAATGAAATTAAATACTATTCAAATTCTAATTTTTCTAAAAACTTANGTTACCCTACACTGATGTTTTTTTAAGATCAAGTGCCGCTGCCCTGTATACATTTGCCCGGTATTCCCTGCACTGATGTTTTTTTAAGGTCAAGTGCCACTGCCCGGTTTATACACGGAATTCTTTTCACGATCTCCCCCCCCCTCACGTTCCTCCAACATGTACAGAATTGCTGGAACAGCAACCGATAATTGTCAACAGTACTGAGGTACGTAAAAAAAAATCAAATCTGACTGTCTTCTCTGTAAAGCCTAATAATCAATTCTTTCTTTTTTGATGACCCTAGTTAAGTTTTATTTTTTTTGTTTCAGAAAATCCCGTCAAAATTTGACTTCCAATGTTGGCGCTAAAATAAGGCGATATTTTGCTAAGCTAAAGCTTGCACCAGCAACGCTTTCCCGATATCGAGCTCATTTTCCCCTATCTAAATTTTTTAAGCCCGTTTGTATTATGGAATCGTCCTGTCCCTAGTCGCTTGTAATTTAATAGGGTAGTATTTCTTATTTTCAAATTTAGTGGATAACAATTGTAAAAAATGAGTGAAAACAATCCCACGGACAATGCGACGGATTTATAAGGTTATGTCAAGGTACGTCTCTTGTGAATGTCAATTGACTGTTAGGTTTTCTCTTTTCTAATTGCCATTTATATTTCACCAAATGCAGCCATGAGGGATATTAAATTATTTATTGCAAAATCTTTATTGCCGCTATCCACTGCTGGTTCACAAACTCTGACAGACGTTACTGGTGAAGAAATTGATTATTGTGAGCGTCCTATGATTCTTGCAGGAGATTTTAATGTGAATTTCTCGTTACCTGAAGCTGAAACATTATTAACCTTCTTTAAAGACAAATTTGGATTGGAAAAGATAATGGTAGGAATGATCCAACAACCAAAGGGGTAACTACTATTGATGCAGTTTTTGCAAGAAATATATGGAAAAAATAGGACTCAAACATTTCGTATCTTACTTTAGTTATCATAATCACATTGTTAATGTTATAGATTTGGATATTTCTCCACTCGAAAATGATAATTAAAAGATGCGATCAAATTTTAAGCATTGTTAATAAAGTTTGTTTTAAAGAAACAATATGATTTCACTAAAAATCAATTTCTACAGCTTCCTATTATTTTTTTTTGAATCCGTTAGTTTTGCTGAAGTTTATGTTTCTTTTGTTGACTGCGTATACCAATCGTCGAAAGCAATGATTAATTTATGACAATTATTTTTTAAACAGTTTTTATGTCCTCAAAATGAGATAAATTATTTTTCCTTAAAACAATTAGATACCCCACTAAAAAAAGAATCGACCTAAGCAATCTTAAGATTTATTAATTTAAAGTTGCCGTTTTACAGAAATAAAACTTTTTCAATGATTTCATAGAATAAAGTATTCACGTCTAAATTCGTGGAATGTGATATCTGGCTTTTATTAAATTTTCCATCCGAAATTGCATCCAGAATTAAATTATTTTTAAATTTAAAGAACTTGAAAACTTATTTAAAAACTTAGGGATCATTGCGACATAATAAATAAGAGAATAAAATAGTTAGCATTTACAGATTCATTTATGTAAAATTGCCATTTTTCAGAAATATATTTTATTGATTTCCTATAATAACGTCTTCACATTTAATTTTATAGAGTGCGATATTATTTTTTTTATTAATCTTTCCAATAAAATTGTATCATCACGAAATAATTAAAATATTTCTAAATAAAAACTTTAGGATATTTTTTTTTGGAAATTATATAATAACTAAAAAAATTAAGTAGTGAGCATTTGAAGATATATTAATTTAATATTACCATTTTGCAAAAATATTTAACTATTTTATTAAATTCCTATAGCGTAATTACATCTAAAGGGTTGAAATATTTAATATTTTTTATTAATTTTCTGTAGCGTATTTATACAAATATTGCTAAAATAGTCAACTGGTTTATTGATTTCCTATAATTACTTACCTATATTGATTTCCTATATCTAAATTTATTGGAATTGATATTAAATTTATTCTAATTTTCTCACATTTTCCGCTAAATAATTATTTTATCTATTAATAAGTAAATGTTCTTTTTTTTTTCCTTTCCTTTTTTTTCGCGTTTCTTTTTTTTTTGCGTATATGTCATCAATTTTAATCTTCTGCGTTTCTTTTTTTTTATCATTCGGTAGTTTTTTTTCGAATCCTTTTTCTCCGTTTAAAGGTGAATTAGAAAGTACAAAGTTCTAGATTAATGCACAATTCGAACTTTTCGGTGACGTTCTGTAATAACCTTTGAATTCTAATTTCTTTTCTAATGATATCAAATATATTCATAATTCCGGTCTAAAGATAGCATCCTGAAAAACTAACCTTTGCCCACTTACTATATTTAGGGACAGTTAGAAAGATAAGGGAGTGATTTTAATAATTTCCAGATCTCATGGGTCACTTAAGAATCTCATATAAATATACCTGAATATTTACCTCGTTCCTTACAATCTTTTACTTCTTGCAATTCTTCATTCCTTGCAAACAATATTCATACCTTAGGTAAGTTCTTGCATACATTTGTTGATATTTTTTCTACCTTATTTTTATATGTAAATTTGAATGAAATTAAATACTATTAAAATTTTAATTTTTCTAAAAACTTAAAGTTTTGTAGCAATTTAATTTCGATAGCTAGTTTTATTATAGGGGATAAAAAATACAAATTTAAAATATTAAATATCAGTAAAATATATTGATGCATTTGTGGATAATTTCTCTTCTTTATTTAGCTAGTTATTGTGTTTATTAGCTATTGTGTGGAATTATTTAGCTAATCGTTTTGCTAATTATTGTGTTTAATTACTTAGCTTAGTATTTTCTCACTAGTTATTGTATTCATATTAAGTTATATATTATTCGAGTACATTTTTGCGATAAAATTAAACTCGGATTTAATTTTGATGCAACTATATTTTAATATTATTAAACACTATTAAAGTTTTAATTTTCTCAGAATTTTGTTTTTCATTTTTGGGTGCATTTTCTTACATTACCCAATAGTAAATAAAATAAACTTATATAGTAAATGATTAATTAATATCGGGTAAATATTTCTTGTCAGAAGTTTCCTCTCTCTGTATAACTAACTGAGTGTAAATTTTATTAATTTATAACATATAATTATGATAAAATCAACTTTATTCTTAATTTATTATGTTTCGCTAATTATTGTGTACATAGTAAGCTATAATTTATCCGAATATATTTTTAAGATAAAATGAAACTCAGATTTAATTCTGATGCAACTATATTCTAATATTATTAAACACTATTCAAGTTTTAATTTTCTCAGAATTTTGTTTTTTACATTTTGGGGTGCATTTTCGTACATTAGAATAATGGTATTTATGTAAATAAAAAAGTAGTTAAGTAAATAAAAAAGTAGTAAATGATTAATCAATATCGGACAAATATTTTTCCATAAAAATTTTCCTTTTTCTGTATAGCTAACTAACTATTGAATGTAGATTTTATTTACTTACAAGATATAATTATGATAAAATAAACTTATATTTATTATCTAATTAATATTCAAATACTATTAAATATTAATCAAGGTTAGTAGTTTTTAATAAATTGTTTATTTGGAAGAAAAATATACAATTCTAAACTTCATGTATAAATCTTAATTTTATTATAGTTCATCGAAATATTGAAATTGTAAATTGTTTTTCTAGCATTTGGTTATCTTATTTAAATAATAATGCTTTCTTTTCAGAAAAATAATTATAAAAATGAAGACTTTATTGATTTTGATTGCTTCCATTACGGTTGTGGCTGGTAGTCCTCTTGGTAAGCTACATTCTTTTTTTTTTTAAATAAAAATAATACATAGTTTTCTTTTTTTTCAATTAAGTTGTTTTAAAATTGCATGCTTATTCATTGTTCAGTTGAAATATTAAAAAATAATATTTAAATTTAGATTTTAACTAATGTTTTTTTTAAGTAAATTTTTTTCCAAAAACATTTTAAAAGGTAACATTAACTAATAGAGCATCAGAATTGATGCAAAGTTAAATTAAAATTGTGATTTTTTTTTTTTAATCAAATTGTTGGTTTATTTTGGTAGAATATAACGTGACTAAGCGCATTAAAAGTGGGAAATATTAAAGCTTTTATAATTGTAAGGATATTTTTTTTCTTTAAAATCTCACATAATTACCAATTTTTATAATTTTTACTTTACGTTACAAAATTGTACGAGTTTTAAGACTTTTAATTTTTTAAAAATTTTTCTCTTTTTTTGTTGAGCTTGAAAGTTGAAGAATTATTCTTAATAAATTAATTTTTTTCACTGAAATTTAGGAAATACAATTGTAGGAATACTTTTTCATTAGAATCTAATATAATAAAAACTTTTAATGTTTTTAACTTTTTATTTTTAGATTCCAAAATTGTAAAGCTGTGCTAGTTTTATGATTTTTAAACAAAACTATTTTCTTTATTTTGGAATAAGTTAAATAATTATCATTATTTAACTGATTCACCAATATTTAAAATAGATAGTTGTAGGGTTACTTTTTCTTTACAATCTTGCATAATAACACTTTTGGATGTTTTTTGTCTTTTTGTCTTGCATTCCAAAATCGTACGAGTTTTATGACTTTCAAACAAAAAAAAAATTTCGGTATTTAGTTAGAAAATTGGACAATTATTATTAAAAAATTAGTTTTTTAACTCAAAATTCAGCAAATACAATTGTAGAAATTTCGCATAATCACAGATTTTGATGTTTTACTGTCTTTTTGCGTTGAGTTCCAAAATCGTTCAAACAAATAATTTTCATTGTTGATTTGAAAATTGTACAATTATTATTATTAATTAATGTTTCTTGATAAATGTTAGTAAATACAATTGTAAGGATACTATTTCTCACAATTGGAACATATATAGATAACAAAATATATAGATTGAAAATATAGATAGTAGAATACAGTATATAGAAATAAAATTCTTACATACACAGTTAGAATTTTCCACCTGAAGTTACTGTAAAATGTTCGGCTGTAGTCTGTCCTTCCAATTAACATAAAGTTTACGGTTTGGAACAGTTTTTTTACCTTTACAGTTTTGTAACCGTTTACAATAGGTACGGTATTAGAATTCAAAACGTGAATTGAAAATGATACAGTGTTGTAACCATTTACAACTAGCATAGTATCTTAACCATAAAAGTTAAACTTAAACGGACAACATAGCTCTGTGGGTACTGCGCCATTTACGGGAGAATGATAATTTCGTATTCTAACAGTCCTAAGTCACTGACTAGATAGAGCTGGACACTAGAAACTCTTCATATATTGATGTGGGAGGGGGAAGTAAGGAAAGAAACATTGCATTATCGACTCTCGAATTCGAACCCCTGTTTAGCCGGTCTTTAAATTATCCGATTAGCCCTTTTAGCTACAGATGTACCTAGTTCCACAGAACAAGATAGGATAGAATTCTGGCTGATTAACCGTATTAGGTGAAAAAAATCAATAAACGTTTTTTCTAGCACTTAGCAGTTTGTGTATCATCATTTTTTTTTTTATGGTTAGTTGACTGTTTTGGTTGAATACGGTAAACTAACACTTAAATAAATTGTTATTTGACCATTTTTGACAAAAAAAGTTCTAACAGTGTAATTTACGATTTTGATATTTTGTCATTGAGTGGAGACAGAGTTTCAGTTACAAATTAATTTCAGTTGCCTTACCTACATATTTCTTTTGTAGGAAGAAGCAGCTACATTGATGCTATCGAACGATGCAATACATATGTGGATAAATTACTGGTGAACGCCGCGAAAGATAATAATTTGGAATCATTTCCCGTTTACGGAAGAGAACTTAACTTTAGGAAGAAAGTAGTTTTCTATCCATTCAAATGCTACGCCAACTTGACAGAGGGTCACATTACAGGATTGGGCAATCTTCATCGAAAGGGCGCATGCTCCATATCCTTTCATAACAGAAGACTGAAAATTCACACAGAAATCGAAACCAAACAAATTAACTTCAATTTTACTGGCAAAGCATCCGTTATCGGTTCAACCGCTGACGTCATGGTAGACGCCGTTACCTCTCCTTTGAAAATCGAAATGGATTTCTCATTTAATGGCTCATCAGGTGACGATGGCAAGTTGGACAGCTACAGGCCAACCGTCATATCTAACATGAATGTTTGGATTGATGGTCTGGGTATGCTGGAATGGATAAGGGAACCCATGGAAGAAAACGTGGAAGAGTTGTTCTTTAACTTAATTAATACACTGACACATCACCATCTGAAAGAAGCGTTTAGAGAGGATATTCAGAAGAATCCTTTTTCTATAGAAGACTTAGAAGATGTTTATGCATCTACAATTGAGCCAGTCACTGAAGACCATGGAACAACACCTCGTGGTAAGCAATCAAAATTTATTTCCTTAATATATCATTTTAAATATAGAAGTTCAAGACATAAGAGTACCTTAACTTCAACCAGGCATTAATCGATTAATTGTTTACCGATACCAAAAAGAATAAATGGGAAAAATGAATGCATTGATGTTACAAGTTCACCTAATCTAGTTTAGCCAAATAGGTGGGACACCACTTTTCTCTGTAGACGCAGCAAACTAATTTTGCGACGTAGCAAGGTTAATTTTAACTNCATTAATATCGATTTTATAAAAAATCCTGATGTGATTGGGGAAAATGAAGGTCATTTTCAAAATCAGCACATCAAATAACATATAAATCAACGATAACTTCTCTTGTATTTTTCAAAAAGTTCAATTTCGCAGGCTTGTGCTATTAGCCTATTAGTCGATTTCCAATTTTTCTTATTGATTTCATCTTCTATTATAAGTTGGGTTTTCCTCTATTAATAATGTTTCGTTTCTAATTCTAAAAGGCTAAAAGATTTTGGCCCTGTTGTTATAAACAGCACCTAATTCATCCGATGTAGTTTAGCCAGATAAAAGGGATAACACTCACTATTCTCTGTAGACGTATGAAGTTAATTTCGTGACGTAGCTTAATCAACTGTTAACTGACCTTATAGCCAGAATTTAAATATTGTCTTAATCTTGAGCAACATAAAATATCACTTTCCCTATTTGGGCAGGATTTCCCTATTTTTTTCTGTCATACACGGACAAGCAAACTTTTTGAGTAATGCAATCGGTTAAACTTTTTTCGTCGCTGAGATGCTAGAGGGAAATCTTTACATTTTTCTCAATCTTTGCTATTTTTTTAATCATGTAACTCCATTTTTAGCCATATTTTTCAAAGTTTTTCCATATAGCACTCAGTAATTATCACCCTCTTTGTAAGTATAATAGCCGTATCGAAGTTGCGCAATTTACCCACTCTCCATATTTTTCTCCTTTTCCTTACCATGGTTTCAGCGAATATTGTGTTTTCCCTACGAAGGTACGTAGGAGTTAGAAAAGTGAAATATTCTAGAGAGGGGAAAGTGTAAAATTTGCTGAAGACGTCCATTTCCTTTACAATGAGTATAAAACATGCAAATTACCTTTAAATAATTTTTTAAATTTTTAAATATCGATGATTTTATACTATTTGGCTTTAATAAAATTCCATTTTTTTCTGTAGGCAAAGAAGAATATACTATAGAGGATTCTAACAGTTACATCGACTCTGTTCTCGCCAACCGGTTTTTGTTCGAATCGAAATATAGCAAGTTGGATCCTCTCGTTTTGAGTAGCACTCGCTTGGAGAAAGTTTTTGTTCGAGATCCTCAAAATGAAGATGCAAATTTTCTCAAACTTGAGAAGGGCGAACTTGAACACCTGTCCAACGTGAGGAGGAATTCCGAATGCAGCATTCCCGAATTCATTGAAAGAAACATTACTTTTGAATGCTCTCTTGGATTCGACGAATTAACTCTGAAGTACCAAGCCGAAGCTCACAATGGTAGTGATGTATATAATTTCCAGCTCATCGTTACAGTCAAACAAACGAAATTATCGTTAAAGGTTACATCTACCTTAAGTGACAATGTTCCGACAATCCTTGACTATTCAGTCGACAATGTGGGCAAAATCAGTATAATAGCTGCCATAGATATTGTGGGTGCCCAAGCGAGGTCACCCTCTTCGATAGAAACTCTCTACAACAGTAAAGTCATTCTGACGTACTTTTCGGAAGAAGTAAATAGCATTTTAAAAGGACGATTTAAAGAAGTCTTGAATTACAGCATTTACAAAACACCTCTGCATTTCTTGGACTCGTAAAATGTATCTTTTGTTTATAAGTTATTGTTCCGTTACCTAAAATGTAGGACAACTAGCTAAGTTTTTAAAAGGGGGCTAAAGACACAAAATTTCGAAACTTTTTCAGTTTAAAATTATGCGAACATTCAATATTTATTTAATCTGGTAAACGTAATCTGCCATAATTTCTATTCATCTTTGTTACAAAAGAATTAGTTAGCAATTTGTGGCATCCGTAGAAATCTTTACAAACGAAGCAGCTGATTTGTTAAAGATTTTTTTTAAGTCAACAACGTATGATTCGTTTTTATTTAATTTCTTTTTCAGGATAGATCGTAAGACCAAGCGATATATTTTGAGGAATTCTTAACAAAAATGGGGAAAATACTGTATCCATTGTGGGCCTCAAATTAAAGAGGGGAACAAATGTCAAAACTTGACGAATTATGAACGAGAAGGGCCGAGTTGAAAGCACCAAACCTTGTTTACTGACTGAAGAAAGCGAAACGGGAGTAAGCAATTATAGAATAGTCTCTAAATTTCATACAAACATTTTTCACATTTCGATAGCGTTTTTGTTTTTAAATAAAATGACTTCATTTTGGACAAGTGTTCTAAAAATAGGAATAAAGAGTAATGATTTTAGGACACTCAGTATAAAAAAATTAATTTGAGCGAATGGCATACAAAATTATTACAAAATTGTTAATTTTTGAAAAAAAATTTTTGGGTTCTATCCGAAATTGGCTATGCTAATTTTTGCACATTTTAATTTTCTTAAAATACGTGAAATATTTTGTTTTAAAAATTTTGCCTCATTAAGTATTTGAGCAGAATAAAATTTAATGCAATAATATAAACACTTAAAAAAAAGCTCGTAAAATGTGTCTTAATGCTCCTTAACTGTAAAACATTGGAATGCCCTATTTTTACAGGAGAACTGCATTTGAACTTGTAAATAATAGATAATCTTTTACTTATTAATGGATGAAATTGTAATAAAGTGTACATATTGAAATAATTTGTTTGGTGAGTCTTTTACTTTCATGATTTACATTTTATAATACAACTAGGGTGTTTTGCCTCTACTCGCTGCCGCTCTCAACTCTTACAACGCAATAGCAACTTGGTAATAGTTGAGAGTAACAGGGAGTAGCTATTAGTGTGTGTAGCAAAGGAGACTACAAAAAATATTACTTAAGGTATTTTTTTTCAAGATTTTTTCAACAATAAAAAATATTTATTAAAATATTTCCAAAATCATATACTGTAAAACCTCGTTATAATGAATTGTCTAAAGATCCAGTAATAAGTCAACTATAAACGGTAGTTCACTATATCCAAATTCTTTAAAAATGACCTTTTAGCATATGACAATAGCATTATTGTAAAAAGTTATTACGGTAGTAAGTATTTTGTTTTTAAATTTATAACCAATTAAATAGGTAATACATCAAATATAAAAAAGGAAAATGAATGAGCTCTGTTTTACTTTCTGGGAAAGAAATCAGCTTTTCGATTGACCGTACTTTTTGATTTTCAGAAGAGCTTAATAATTTTTGTATCAACAATTAGTTAAGAATTCAATATTTTCTGGTTCTCATTAGAAAAAAAAATTTAAAACATCCAATGCTACTTAATAATTTTAAAACATCCAATCCACTTCCGAGATAAAAGTTGCCAAAATTTCTTTTCCTTCTTTAATATAAGGGAAGGAATGTGCTGATTAACATATTCTTTATCAAAGTTTAAAAGTGTAAGATTTGATACATCGTCATCCTATGCAAACGCAACTCTTGCAAAATTGAAGAAATAAAAAATTTTATAATGCAATATAATAATAAGTTATATAATGCCATTAGTTTAGGCAAGAAAGCAATCGGAAATTCGAGGCCTTTCATCTTGGTTTTATATTTTGCGTATTTCATCGTATGTTTGGAACTGTATAAGACTAAAAATCCAAACGTAATTCTACGTAAAAATTGAATTTTTATTGTTTATTCATATTTACTTGAATAGTGACTATTTTTTGTATTATTTTAAATACCACTTATTTTAAAACACAAAATCCTAAATTTGAAGGGAATTGGTTAAATAGTTCGTATAAATTAGAAAATTAAGAAATCTAAAAATACTACTTTTCAAAGATAACAAAATAAAATAAATAAATAGAAATAAAATAGAATTGAAAAAAAGAAAAAAAGTGATTGCAGAAAGATGATCACTGGTTAGGTCACCCATTGTTTCAAAATGATTGTTCTCTATTTTTTTTTTTTTTACCCTCTTTATTTATGATATTCACCTGAATTAGTATTAAAAACGATCCGGTTTGAACCGTAAGTTAGAATTTCAGATTCTTAATTAAAACAATAAAAACAAAAAGATCATTCAAATGATGAAATTCTCTTTAATTCACAACTCAAGAAGTATTTATGGGATCTCTCTGATCCAATATCTCAAAAATAAACTCACCCACTTAATGCATAACAAGATTAAAAATGAAAAAAAGAATGCTTAAAAAATTATCAAACAATTACCACTAATTATTAACTCTTAACTCTGCAAAATATAGCCAATTGGAAAATACGTAATCGTAAATTTTCATGGGTAGCTTTGTTTTTAAATAAAATTTTTGAAATTTTCATTTGTTGTAAGCTATTTCGCATAAGAACGCGTACCCCCGCTAAACTCCCGTACCCCTGGGGAAACGCATACCACACACTTTGGGAAGAACATAGACTCTAGAAGAACATAGTTGAAAAGTGTGATAACGTTCAAATAAGGTGCTCACGCCATCAAATCCAAAACAACACCCATTTTGCCACGGGTAATAAAAACTTAAATTAGCATAAAGGGTACCAAAATTTTCTGCCCCTGTCCGGTCTATACTATCGGAACAATGTTCTGAAAATGACTTCTTCCCATATTTTGAGGGTCAAGAACTTAAATCCGTTTTAAAAAGGTTCTTTTATTTTGAAATGAAAAAGTAGATTTATTCAGACACCAGGAAATCAGACCCAATTAGACACTCAAAGACTAGTCAGAAATTTACGTATTGTTCTGATTTCGTGTCGTAACTTAATATCTTTTGCGATAGGTAATTAGTATAGTTAAGTTTAAATCTTCGAATACTTTAGCTGGAAAACCTCGTTTCCTTAGATCAGAAAGTAGTAAAGTGTTCGCTTTTCTTTTCTCACTTAACAGAAAAGAGGAGAAAAAAAGATACCATTAATTTCCATCATGAAATTTATACTAATTGTCTTTTTGTTCTTTGTGTGTGTGTGTGTGTTTTTTTTTAATAAATAATCAGATCAATAATTGCTAACATGCATTTAGAGATGCAAAAATGACTCGTTTATTTCATAATAATTATATTTATTTACATCGAAATATTTTAAACAAATGTATAAATAACCTTTAGTAGCACCATTATAAACAATTATTTTCTTGGAGGTGCTAAAACAGAAGTAAGTTTAGGAATCCAAAGATTAAACTATTCAATAACAAGGCTCAATCGATTCTTGGAAGAAAAAAAAAATTCTTATGAGCAGCGATAGGATGTTGACGACATAAAAATTCTTTTAAAAAAATACTTTTGAAAACCAAAAAAGGCTTCCAAAGACAACAAAAAATTACTTAAATTGAAAAATAATGTCTTAAAATTTTTTCAAAAACAGATTCTGTATTAATCTATTTTTATTTAAAAGAATTGCAAATCATACCTCGTATATATAAATTTAATGTAAAAAAAAATAATAATAATTGAAATAAATGTGTTATTTATGAATAAAATAAAATGTAAATAAATACTCGATAAAAATAAATTATAAGGAATATCAGATATTCTTTCGAACACGTCTCTTGTTCAAAAGAAAATTCTTTAAAAACTCTGTTCAACACTTTTTTATTGAAGAATATTTAAAATAACAAGATTCAATGCAAAGAATACATTAATTTATTTAGAAAAACTTAATTCACGAGAAAACTGCTTTTGTAATGAAAAGTATGATTCAAAATTTGTAAAAAAAATATTATAAAAGGAAAAGAAATCTAAAAAAATGACCAAAAATCATGAATAATGCCTAAAAAAAGAAAAAGAAGCAAAAATAAAATTTTCTCATTTATATAAAAATGTGAAGTTCATGAGACACAATAGCGATTACCATAAGAGTTTTTTAATGAAAAGATAAACATTTCAGGCTTTCTTGCCATGATTAAATTAAGTGGCAGCTAAAATGGGAAAATATTTGTTTTGACCTTTGAGGTTTGTCAGAATAAGGCGATAATTCAAAATAAATTCAGTTCCCCTATAAATAAGCTGTCATACTTTTATACATCTTTGCATGAGAGCTGGGTTAACATCAAGTATTTCTAACTTTGGTTGGGCCTCCAATAATGTTTGGTAGGGTTGAAGTCTTGCTGTGCTGCGTTCATTTAGTGTTGATGCGCTAATTTCAGATAAAGCTCTATCTAAAATACCGTTTTTCAAAATGCTAAAACTCTGTTCTCGAAGAGTTTTGCAGCCGTTGTTAGTGGCCAGAAAAGATCTGACCTCATCAGCAACTTCAAAAATGTTAGTAATTTTGCCGGGAGTGATATAAATAACATTGTTTTCTCTGAAAGTGACAGCACTTCGAAACTCACTGGAGACAGCCGGCTTTGCCAATACTGCTGCTTTCCATCCAATATATTCGAATTCGTCAAAAAATGCCAAATAAAATCGTCTCATCTCTGTCTCGCAATTTTCCTTGATGATCGTTTCAACGAAATAATCTGTCAGTGAACGCAGTTTTTCATGCGCTGTTTCCGCAGATGTGAACGTACCCAAAATAGTCCATTTGCCATGCGTCATCACATAGTTCTGTGAATCTTCTTCTTCAAAGAATGGCATCAAACATGGATAAGCACCATCCATAATAATAAAAATAACCGGTTTTCCCTTACCTTTATACCTATACTGTAGACCCAAACAGGGTTGATAGATCATTTTGAGAGCGAAAGGTAATTTTTTGGGCAAAAGAGACTGATAGCTATTAGCGTGAATGACAACATCGCAGAAAATCTTCCTTTGTGCTCCATTTTGCAAACCAGTGACCATCATTCCTTCCGGTGTTTTCTGAACATCCAAAACAAGAAAGTTTAATAGAGTTGGAATCCTGCTCGATAATAAGCGGTTCTTAAAATAAGTTCTCAGAGGTTGTCCCAGTTTTGCTGTTGGCTCGTCTATGATAGCCCCGTAATTTACATTTGTAAAGCCAAATTCCCTTGGGTCTATTTCCCGCCGAAAACAATATTCTTCGCAGACACTCTTAAAAAGTGATTTCGGTACCTTGGGTTCACAGCCATCAGAGTCTTTGTCTCCCAACAGGTATATAGATACGTGGTTGGCGTTGATTAATTCTGGATAGAATTTTTGGAATTTCTTTAGGCCTAGCTGGCAGTCTCTTCTTGTCTTTTCTGAACGAGGATAGTGTGGTCCAGCGTGAAGTCTGATTCCAAACATTCCAGATATTCCCCGGAATATGTCCTCTTCTTTGTCAAGAATGAAAATATCTCGGCTTGGATTATCTGCTTTCAATTCTAAAGCGGTGTGGACTCCGTACCATCCAGCACCTATGATGGCTATCTTTTGTAAACTTGGCATGGTACGAATTCTTTTGTTTTCAAGTGATTAAGCCACCCTGTAAAAAATTTTAAAAAAATTTAATACTTAAACGAGAAATATTGAAACGTTTCCTTTTTTTTCTCTCTATTTCAGCCGTACTTTAGAAACGTCGAAGTAAAATAAATTGTGTATGTTGTGTATGGCAAGCGTACAGAAATTTTTGACAAAAGAGCTATACATTCCGAAAAGAATCATATAGTATATCGTTGAGGTAAATATATAATTGTAGTTATTATAATAATTGAAAATAGTAATTTTAATGCAGTATTCCAGGCCTTCTGAAGAAGTTGAATTAATTTTTTTACTTTTCGTATAAGACAACACTTAAACATTTGGGTAATTGCACCTCAAGAAGAAGAAGATCACATTACCCGCATACGTAACCTATGTCGTCAGTGCCAGCTGATCGCTTATAAGCGAAATGGTGTGTTAAATTTGAGCTAAGTTTCTCCACTTAAGCTTGAATGTTAAAATTAACGTGAAGTTAATTAAATACAGCTCTGTATCACGCATGGAATTTGTTAAAATATAATTCTTCTTCGTCTATTTCTTTTATTTAACTTATATTTATTATTTGCATTTTATTTTTAGCGTGATATATTTTTTGTTTGTGTACCTGGCAACTTCGATGCATAATTAGTTTGTTTATGTTCTACATGGCTTCGTGCCTTGCTTTGTGTGTTAAGTAAGAAATATGTAGTGAAAGATGTGAACTCTTTGAGAAAGAATCTTCGTAAAAGAATATAAAATGTGTCACCTAAGAGAATTGATACTTGAAGGGCTTACTGGAAATAGAATGGAAGGAACAAATGCCAACGTAAACAAAAGTCAAGTTTCAACAACCCATCAGGAGTTTCATACCCACATTACGTCACTTGCAAGTATCGCTTCTCCTCTCCTAAAAAGCTGCATCTACGACAGATGAGATGGCTGGCTGTTTGAGATGGTCAGCGAACTTATTAGGATTGCATTTGAATAATCCCAAGGAATCACTATAGTTACCAAAGCAATGAGGGAAATAAATAAAAAATGTTTAAAAAAAAGCAGAAATATGTATATTGTTTTCTTCTGTATCGTTTTAAGTTACAAGAGCGTAATTAACTTAGAATTAAAATGAGCTTTTGCCGATCGGACCGTGCAGTGGTCAGGGAGCTGACTTCACATTAGAAGTGTCCTGGGTTTGAATCCCGCACGAGGAATCAATGTTCTTTCACTCTCTGTACTATCTTTCTTTACTGTGTGAGAAACGTTGGACCACAAAATAGGGTGCCCCTGAAAGAGTGGCAGACAAATCTACTGATATCTGAATGACGAGTGTCAGTCAGGTGAGCAATGGAAAAAAATGTGCTTTTGAGAATAATTGCAACGGCTATATTAAAAAACATTTTTAAAGGATTTTATTTTATCAATTAATATCACTAAAACTTCCTCATTTAAAAAAGCACTTAACATTTTGTTTATTATATAGAATAGCATTAATATAAGATAACTAAAAACTATGTAAAGTCAGTTACAAAGTGAAACTCATTTTGTATGTATTTATGAAAAAGTAATTCGTTTTCTGTATCACCCTAAAGAACTAAAAACGCATTTTTTTCCCCTAAAAAAAGATGAAGCTATAGTTTCTCAAAAAACTATTTAGCATGTTTTACGTGAAGATATTTAAAATAACGATTTAATTCTGCTTTATAGCCACCGTTGAACAGCTGTGAACACCGTTGAACTAGCACATGTGCTGACGTAAAAACATCTTTAGAGGTAGAGGAAAAATGGGTTAAAGTCCCTTTGTCGGGAAAGGGGGGTTAACCGTGGGAGGTATACATGCTTTTTTTTGTTCTCTCTCCATGTAACGCAAATGTGAGTAAGTTGCATGAAAATGTCCTCCATGAAGGCAAATTTTTACCAATACTTGATCTAGTAGGATTGAGGAGAACGATCAATCTCCAATTCCTGAGGGGTTACGTGTTATGAGATCACGGAGGATTTTCGATCGGCTGGATTTGAACCCCCGTTTTCAGGAACATGAGTTCAGTGTCCTGCCAACCAGGCTATCAAGGTGCCATAAGTGAAATATTTCACTTGAAATATTATTCTCTAAAGTTAAGAGCAATAATTCTTGGAAATATACTCATTAAGAAAATCCCGAAAATTCCCTGAAATTTATATAGCGTCATCTGTTAAAACAAATCGAGATAGTTAAATTTCCTCGCTTCGATGACGTTCAGTTACGTTAGGGTAGATCATGCAACCCCATTCCCTTTCGAAATCTCCACACAAAAGACGGCAGAGATCAATTTTACGTGGCATTTTCATGATGTTTATAAATATACTGCAGTAGAACTAACCATAAGAGGTTTTTGAGGATTTCCTCTTCATGTTATGAAAATGTGGGTGTTTCCATCAAACATCTAACTCTACTCAGAAAAATATTTAAACTTAAGAATACAGAATGTATTCTGATTGCATAACACAATCAAAAGCAATAAATAAGATATAATTTTACTTGTTAAAAATATATATATGTGTTGATAGTCATAACCCTCTTCAAAAAATGTTTGCTGTTCAAAGCCAGTAATAAAATAAAATGGTATATAATTTTGAAGTCAAGGTAATAAATGTTTTTGAATATTTAGGGGAATAACGATAGAAATAAGGAGAAATAAAAATTTTATAATTTAACTTGTTGCAAATTGAAAGTTAAGGGATGGATAACGATTTTTCTAAAGCAAGTTCAAATTAAACGGTCGTAATGGTGATGTACGAAACGTGTTTGTCTTCAGATGTGCGTAAAAATTGTTAGAAATGTGTAACTTTTTTATGAATGCGAGGATAATAATCTATTTAGAGTCAGAGTTGGATATTAAGAAAAAAAATTACGCACATAAGCATTGTATTTCTTTTTATTTTTGCTTTACATATTCAATTTAGAATATTTATAAATATTTATATGTATGTTTTCTCAAAATGCATCCACCCAAGTCGGAAAAAAATCAAAAGGATAAAAACTTACCCCACCTCCTAATCTCACCGAAAACTATTTACGGACGTAATAGGGGTCTTATGTTTTAAAAAAATTTTAAATGTAAAAAGAGAATGCCCACTACAACCTTGAAATTTTTGAGGAAAACTTCCCTTAAATTAAAATTCGTAAATATCAAAAAATTATGCTTTAAACTTTCGTGGCGGTGTATCGCTGAGAATATCGGCATATTTGATTTATTTTATTTTTGGTGTTATTTATTTTTGCTTAGGTTAAAAAAAAAGTTCTTAATTAGCAATACACTCTTTTTTCATAGAAAGGGTTCAATTTTAAGTTTAGATGGGAAAAAAACCCTTGTTGTTCAGCATATTTTAGTTTTGTTCTTTTCAATTGTATGAACATAATATTTAAAATAAAACATAATTTGAACAAATATTGTAAAGAAAAATTATTATACCAGAATACAACGGATATCCAAGTTTATATTTCTGCAAGCAAAAATTTTTACTACAATTTTAATTTGAAAATGTAGTTTTGTTTAACGAATAAATAAAATCATTTAAACATAGCTTTCTTTCTTTTTTTTATGATCTTTCATACAAAAGAAGAAAAAAATGAATGGATTAAAATTGGATGGAGTGGCTCCTATTTTAGAATCTTATTTATCTTGTAAATAAAAGCAGATTTAAGAAAAAAGAAAACATTATTTTTAATTGAAACAAAAAGGAAAATAAGCAGATCTTTGTGTATGTTACTGTGAATGACCGGTGATTGTTGACTTCCACCGGTGAATGTTGACAATCGCATAGTCCCTTTGGTTAATGAGTACTAGGTCTAGTTAAGTGCCACTGCCTGGTATGCCCTATATCAATGTTTCTTAAGGTACTCCGAACACTAATGTTTCTCTTCATCTATCCTCATCTGATATTAAAATATCGAATCAATATAATAATATCAACGAACAAAGGAATATCAAATCGGATATAACAAATATTTCGGACATTTACCGAAGCGATTGTTCACATTCAACGGTGAAAGTCGTCATTTTCTTGATTTCGGTCATTCCAGGTAATATGTAGGCAGAAAATTCGAGCTTATTAAATTAAAATTAAATTAATTTTAATTAAAATTAAATTAATTGCTTTTTAAATTATTAATAGGTTATTTAAAACCTAAATAATATCAGTTAACTACATTTCTTTTAAGAATCAAAAATTAGATTTCACCAAGGAAAAAAAAAGTGTGTCTTTTCTGAGAGCTTCTGTGTAAGTAATCTAAAGTATCGTCATTAGCAAACTTGATGTCTAGTCTTGAAACAAATAAGATAACTTCTTAGTAACTAAAAAAAAAATCCGATCAAATATTGTTCAGAGTTGTAGGATGAAGAAATTTAACATTCATCAAAGACTTGTTATGAACATTTTAATAAATTTTATCCCAAGTGCAGAAATTATTCATTCTACATATTATCTAAGTAATGTGGAGGTCAACTAGGGTAATCTGTTAGAGTGCCAAAAAATGAAAATTTCTCAACTTACTTAGGTAATCTGCAAACTACCTACACATTATCTACGACATCTAGCAGGGGGACCGGAAAGTAATGTCGTTTCGGCCCATTAAATATTCCATAGTTTCAAAAACCAATTCATTTTTTTTATCCAATTCGATTCATTGAAAAGGGTTTGCTAACGAATGTGAATACATTATTGATTAAAAATAAAACCTTGATAACAAATATCAAATGCACCGAAACGACATTACTTTTCGATCCCCCTAATAGAATTTGCATATTATTTACGAAACACTCTTTAAAAGGAAAGTAGATATTTAATGGAACTACGTTTCCCTAAGCGCTTAAACTAACATACTTTTATTTATTTTTTACTATCTAAACTGTCAAGCTACTCTAATCAACACTTTAGTATATAAAATCAATCATCAATTACAATATATATATATATATATATATATTAGATCAATAAGTCATTTATTTTTAGTT